CCGGTTAGATGGGAATCGAAACTGGGCAGTTTCGGTTTTGGGAGGTTTTGGTGATTTGCTGATATTTAATATATATATATATATATATATATATATATATATTCTAAAAAATAACGAATTCGGTTTGTAATGTATTTTTTAATATTATTTCCATTATGATAAAGATTAAAATTTGTTTTGGTACCTACTTTAATTCAAACATCGATTCATCAAAATTCATTTTTTAATTAATTTTTAATGTCATTTTAAGGTGTTTTGTTTTAATAATTATTGGTGTGGTCTCTATAAGGTTGCAACTTTAAACAATCAAAATAAGAGTGCCTCCGAATTTTATCATAACAAGTAATTTCGGTGTAAAAAATTATTAAGATTATCTCAAAATCTATTTTCATATCTAATTATAAAATTTTAAACTATAATTAAAATAAAGTACATATAGAAATATTTGAAAAATTTGAAAATTTACAGTCTAGATAAAGTTTTGCAAGATAAACTATTTCAGGGACTCAAAAGCTTTTATCTTTCATATTCATACATTTCAATGTTGAGATGATCAATTAGATATTTTCAATATTAAAACAACTATTTTAGATGGATTTTTGAGATGCATATGTAATTCTACATTTTAATGTTGCAACTTTATATAACTTTTTTCGTTTTTTATATGGTTTTCATATTTTAGTAGAATTTTTTTTTATATATATTTTATTTTTTCAACGCTATCACTATGCAGACTTACTTGGTTAGAACAGTTGAATTGGCTAGTTTGCCGGTTAGACCAGTTAAACCGGGCCACGTCCCTATTCCGGTTTGATATGCGAACACCGGATTGGACACTTAGTGATAGTTAATTAGATTAGTCGTCAAGTCTACCTCTATCACCATTCGAGTCACTGATTAGACGGTGATGGCTCTCATCGCCGCGATGCCATCAAACTATGCTTCTCCTTTTTATCTTACTTCCTAAGTACTTAATACCCAGTTCTCTCTATCTCTCTCTCAAAAGATCCCTACCTGCGTTTCCTCCCGCCGCCTATCTCTCTCTCTCAAATTCTCTCTCTAAAAGATAACCCCCTACCTGCGTTCTCTACATCCGCTTCTCTCTCTCGAAATGGAGTTAATTTAAGCTCATCGCAACCCAGAGAAGCCAATGATGAGCTCTGATCTCCCCTCTGTCATCCATCTAAATATCGGTGAGCTCAATGCCCTTTCATAACCATTACTCAATTTTTGATTATTTCTCACTCTAGGGTTCCTACTAATTGAGCTATATCACCACATATATTGCACCTTATAAGTATTGATTTGGTCGCTTAATTGACATTTGACAGTACACGATGCATAGGTCAATGGTTGTTTTTATGTACAATCACTTTCCATTGTTCGGAATTTGTTTTATTTTCTCACTTAGGGTTAATCCTTGCAAATGGCTGGGATAAATGATCGTACTTTCCCTTTCAAGGACTATTTATGCATTTAGTTATTTATCAACATCAGCTTTTGTAGAAACACTATTGGTTTGCCATATTCAATGGTTAGACTCTGATTTTTTTTTGTTATTTGCATTTAATTATTGTACTTTTGATGTAATTTAGGTGGTGTTGCTTGTGCCAAATTGTCTAATTTTGCTTTTGATGTTGTACGATCTCTTAGTTTACAATTGAATCGTTTTTTCCTGTAGTCATTCTAAGGTTTGTTAATTCCACTCGCACATAATTGTTGCAATTATTTATTAAAACTAGGGATTTATTAAATATCAAGGATTACATAACTAGAAACAGTAATGCTATTCTAGAAGCAAATTGTACAGTGATTGAGATCCTTAAGGATCAAAATGCCTACTTAATTGGTTTGAAATGGCTAAGTTGTATGTTGTCCCCAATTTATTTAAGCATATCTCATTGTGATTTTTAGTTCTTAAGGCCCATTTTAAATGATATATGGTAGTCATGGTTGAAACACCCCTGTTATTTTTTAACTATGATAGCATGGTTGAATTTCATCTATCATATATACATTATTCTATCATACACATGGTACCTTTAATAGTCATGTTTTTTTTTTTCCACATTTTACCGAGTTAAGATATAGCGTTTTAAGTTTTAACCATTGAGCTTGTTGACTTTATTTAGGAGGAAAGAAATTTTCGACAACCATTGATACTTTGACGCAACGCGAGCCACATTCGATGCTTGCAGCAATGTTTAGTGGTCGTCATTCTGTGTGTAAAGATCATCAAAAGGTATCCATGCTTCATTTGTGTTTAATACTCAGTATTTAAAAACTGGGTAACTGACTTTGTTCGTTGAATTTTGGCTATTTTGTTTTTTCCTTTCTCGCATTTTTCATGCAAATGATACTTGTGCCTTTCTTAAACATATTATATGTACGTGATTCTCCATATTTGTAAGTCCATATTGAAACAAATGGCTGAAAACACACTCAAATATGAGTTGATGGAATTTGAGTATCTTTTAAATGGTCAGTTGATCTTTCATGGAAGCTTTTTGTCATGATATCTTGCATTTTTTTGTTTTAGTTCAAGATCTTCTGAATTCCTGTCTGAAAAGAAAATTTGGGGTTTTACTTTGGGCGCGAAGAATTTCTATATCCCAATTTTGATCTATACAACCTACTTCATGTGCCTAAATGTAGTTTCTTATTGTTAACGTAACATTGAGATGCCTTTTTGCTCTTTTAACTTTATTTTCATGCTGTAATATCAATCCAGCCAGGGCATTTATTGTTGTCTACAATTTAGCTGGATAAAGTTCATAAACCCTATGTCTTGTTTCAATTTCTAGTTCCCTGTACCCTGTCATATTTCTCTTCTGTGAATCAGATTACGAGTTTATAACTTTTGATGCTAATTTATGCCTCCACATATTTCTGGAAGTGGCATATGTACTGTATCCTTATTCCTAGCTTATATAAGAGATAAATTAAAGATCTACCCATATTCTTTGATCATACTGAATCTTCTGCAGGGGTTTGTCTTTGTTGATAGGGATGGGAAACATTTTCGTCACATTCTCAATTGGTTAAGAGATGGAGTAGTTCCTATTCTCCAAGATTCAGAGTACCCAGAGCTGCTACGTGAAGCTGAATACTATCAACTTCTAGTAAGCTGCTTCCCTTGTTGCATAAATATTTGAGTTAGATTCTCTTTCTAGCTTCATAAATCCAACTAAGTACCGGTCAAATTGATATTGTCTCTAATCTTAATCATAATTTGAATTGGTACCCGTGGCTCTAGTTTTGTATTGGGCTGTTTGCTATGAAGTTGATAATTTGAAAAGTACTTTTCGTTAGCATACTTAGCTTTGCAGTTCTTTCGGATTCCCTGATAAAATATGGGATGCATTGTTTTATTCTTCTGTTCTTCCATTGATACATATTAGCATTTGTCTAAAATATGTTCATAAATTTATTGTCAATTTTTTTTTCCTAAAAGAAGGACCATGCTCTGATACCATTTTTGTTGTTACCAAATACCAAGTGAGAGAAAAGAATGTGAGAATGGAACTTATTGGGTCAATCAGTCCAAACCCATTTTTAAAGTGCTGCAGAAAACTCGCTACAAATTTAGTCATTTGTTGTTCTCGTAATTTTCTGCCCATTGTTCCAGGGGTTGATCGAAAGCATTAATTCATTTATACATAAAAGAAAAGAAGATGAAGAGTCAAAGGCTGAACTGACACGCATGGACGTTATCAAATGCATACAATCTGAGCGGGTTAGGTTGCGGGGAGTCAATCTCTCTGGGCTTGATCTTTCCAAATTGGTAAGAATGTAGAGAATTGTAGATGAGCCTACCAACGCATTTATTTGTGCTATACTCTGGTGGTTACTCTCATCTTATTATTTGTTGGGTACTGTAAATGTTAGGGGTTCTGCCATCTCTCCTATTGTTGCAGAAGTTATGACAGGGAACCGTCTGTGAATTAAATTGAGATTGTGATGAGCCTTGAAATTTACTTCTTTTTATTTTTTCGAAATAAAAAAATCGTCTCATTGTTATTGGATATTTAAGAATTTGAGTTCAATGTGTTTAATCGTTTAATCGATGTTCTCAAAACATTGGTTTTATTATATTGCTAGGTAGGAACTAAAACAATTATGAAACTCTAAGTGCTGCTGCATTGACTAGTTTGAATTATGCAGGATTTGTCGGGTGTTGACTTTAGTTTTGCGTGCCTTCGGGATGCGTTCTTCTCACGTGCAAATCTCCAGTCCGCTAAATTTCGGGTAAATTTTTCGTTTAGCGTTCTTCTCACTTGCAAATCTCCAGTCTGCTAAATTTCGGGTAATTTTTTTGTTTAAATAACAGTTTTTTTATAGAATGATTATTATTATTATTATTATTATTATTGAGAGTGATTGTTTAAATAACAGATTAAGAATATGGGCGCTGTAATTTGCAATTTAGCCACTTGGTGGATGGATTCATCTATTCCTTCAACTCATACTTGTTGGCCGTTTTGTCATTCATAAGGCTAAAGAAGCTCAAAATTGGACACCTTTGATGGAATTGGAAATAGCATTATCGGTACTTCATGCAAATGCCCCGAGGCTATTTCTTTTGCAAATTTGACCAATTATTATTTTGTGGTGGTATGAGTGTAGATTTTGACTTATTTTCCTTACTTCTACATGCGCCAAAGCGAGATGCTAATTTCCGAAAGTGGAGATATACTTAACAAATAGTGTTTTTCTCATGTTGGTTGCTCAGGTCTTTTTTACTTTGGTGGTTTTGGTGGGAATGCTATCATTTGTATGCATTCAACGATGCTCTAAAATACAAAGCTAGAGTTCATTTTTCATTTTTCTTGTGTTATCTATTTACCCAGTTTTAATTTCTCCCCAACTTTGCACTAACATTTGAAAGTTGCATTTTGGCTGGAATTTATCTGAAATTGAAAAAAGAAACTAAAGGGAAAATGGTGGGATTTGGCCTAAACCTTCATTGAAATGCTTGAAATCACACAAATTTTAAGTTAACCAGTTTCAAAAAAAAGAAATCACACAAATTTCAACAAAATTTTCCCAAATATTGAAAAATTTCATGGGCATTGCCATCTGCTTTGCTTGAAATTGGGTCAGTTATTGGGCACCAATTCTGAGTTTGAGTGTTTATTGACCATAATATTGGTTGCCCCTTTGTTTAAGGAAGTGCAGAGGCTTTTGTTTTGAGACTTGCAAGGGAACTGGTTGACCATCTACGTTGTGGATGTTTGTTCCAACAATTTTGTAGACTCATGTAGCATGTGTCCAATTGTCTTAATAGGTATCTATTGGAGGAAGAAATGCCTAGAACCTGAATGATTTTTTTTTTTGGTTATGTGCAGGATGCAGAGGCTGATGGTTCCAACTTTCATAATGCTAATTTGCGTGAGTAAGAAGCTGGACTTAAAAGTGATGTTATCATATTTTCTTTGGTGCTAGCTGATGGAAGTTGAATGACATGATTTTACTACAAATATTAATGGTATTTTAAAATGGCTAATCTGGTTTTATCTTATGACTTGCTCATATCTTTCTTGTACTTAGCCTCTATCTTTTTGAAACCGTTTTATTTTTTACTCCCCTTTCCTTTTGTGATTAGTCATACTATTATTCTCTGTGAACCTGGACATAATTGAAAGGATGAGTCACCTTATGACAAATACACACCATAGAAAATTCAAGAAGTGTACTTGGGGGTTTTGGAAACTCTATCTATATACCTGACATGACCCTGTAAAGTCTGGGTTAGACGTAGGCCCAATCGTGTCTGACTATAGGGTCTATACTTTTGGACCCAAGCCTAACCTGACAGTAGGGCTGGCAATGGGCTGGGCAGCCTGACCTGGAAAAACTCTGGCCTGGGCTACAAAAATTGGCCCAAAATGTACGCTACTACAGGTCGAGGGCCAAGCCTTGGCTAGGCTACGTTAGGGCTGTGTATTGCCTGGCCTGCGGTTTTCGTCATTTTTTCTTTTTAATCTTGGAGTCTATGAGGCCCATCCTTGACCAAATGGTACTCTACATTTGAGATTTCATTTACAATGTGTACATTGAGTATCATAATCCCAAAAGTAGTCTTTGCTGTTTCTGATGGACATACCATGTTTTCTAATTGTCTCCTCTTTCTCCCTTTGTCTTTGAGTGGGCTTCCTAATTTTTGTCATTTGCCTAGGGAAGGTGTGAATTCATAAGTGCCAATCTCGGTGGAGCTGTATTAGCTGGAGCCAATCTTCAAAGTGCAAATCTACAAGGTAGTTCTTAAGCAGACTTTATTGATGAAAGTTATTTCTGGTGACAAAATTGTTTGATTTTGTTCTTGCTAAAGATTCTTCCTTTGCCACCACTTATCTATACTGGATACTGGTAGTGTTCCCTGCCCATGACTATATACAAGCCTGAAGTCACAGAAGCCTAAGATATATTCCATCCACGTTTTCTATTCAAGGTTTATGGTAATTAAGTCATCAGCTTGGTGACTTAGGAAAAACATTAATTTGTTTACTAGATAAAAGGTGTAGGTTGAGGAGCAGTGACATGATTTCTAAGTTGTTTCCAAGGACTAGACATTCATGTGAATTGTAATTACAGGGTAGCTGAGATGTTTTTGGCACGCATCAGTTTGAAGTTTTGAACTATTGATCATGGTGGTTCAAGGATTGGGCAAAGACATGGAAATTTTGATTTAGGGGATATGACTTGATTTTAGGAATGGACTGGAAATAATTGGATATTAGTATTTTGTCAGTCAAAAGCATTATGAAATATTTGAGTTTCTATTATAGCGCAGGTTTATTTAGTCAATAATTATTTTATTTTCCAAGGTAGAACTTAATTTGTGAATTAAGTTTCGACACCTTAAAGTTTGTAGGCTTTAAATGTCTCATATTTGTGATAACATCCAACTTTCTTGTTAGTGAAGCCATACTTCAGAAAGATCCTTAAGGACCAGACAAGGTCCAAAGAAGAAAAACATTGGTGTTTTATTGATTCAAGTGAGAAATAAATACTTTTACCATCTTATATCAAGGTGTAGCATTTGAAATCGAGATGGTGTTATCTTTACTATGTTCCTTGGGGTTTGAATCCTTGGTTTCCTGAATATCTTAATGTTACTATGCAGCATGTATAAAGTTTGAAGAGCATAGGTATCAAGAGTTTAAATCTAACATCCATGTGTATTAAGGAAGCAATATTCAATGTGATAATATTTGTACATAAATCTGGCTTTCTTATGTTCATGCAGATGCTTGCCTGATACACTGTAGCTTCAGTGGTGCAGACCTCCGCTCAGCACACTTACAGGTTCATCAGCTTCACATTTACTTTATTTATTGTGTTGGTTACCTCTAAAGAACTTGGAATTTGGCAATTCCACTTTTTAATGGTTTAAAGTTGTGATTTCTTGATTTCTTCTCGTAATAAAAAATCTGTGCCATTTCACTTTTTTGATATTTACTTTATAAACATGTCTGGATATGGATAGTTCCGTGATTTGTAAGATAACCTCAGTGTTTTCCTGAAGAAATAGTAATGACACCACTGGGTCACATGGTTATTTACTAGAATATAGACTGAAGCACCCTATTTCTCAAAAAAAAAAAAAAATGGACTGAAGCACCCATGCCAGCAGTTTTGAAATGTTCTCTACTGTAATAGTTTTTAATATATATTGACCTATCAATTTATAGGGAGAAATGGATGTAAGGTTCCACTATGTATCGTTCATGTTTGATTAGTTGCAAGCTGTACAGACCTCAATTAGTTGGGGAAAGGCTTTGATGATGATAACAAACACTTATGGTTAGATGGAATGCTTATTTGGTCAAATGTCGCATGGTAAATCAATTCCAATGAAGCTTATTTGAAGTTATATTACCTGGTAGAATTTAAGCCTTAGGTATATTTCCCTCATAGTAAGTTATGTTAAAGGTGTTACTATTATTTTGAGAAATATTATATTTATTGTGCATGATCTTCAGGAAATGCTATACTCATGAATTAAGTTTGCATGAATGAAATTGTTTAATTTAATCTTAGATGGAAGCCTATTATGAATGAAGTTACAAATCATTTTATTATGTTACAAACATATTAATGGCTTGAATATGTTTCATTCTTTTTCTCAGACTGCTGATCTTACGGAGGCCAATTTGGAAGGGGCAAATTTAGAAGGTGCTAACTTGAAGGTAAATTTGTTGGCAGTTCCAAAGCGAAGAGTACAAGTTCATTGCAAGTATTTTACTTAAAGATGAAGTTCATTGCAAGCATTTCCAATGCCATGAATTTGTAAATATTCATGCACTAGTAAATTCTGATCAGGATCTAATAACTGCGTATTAAACTCCTTTTCTTTTGGACTCAGGGTGCAAAACTAAGTGGTGCGAACTTACAGGGGGCTAATCTTCAGAGGGCATATTTACGGCAAGTAGATCTAAGAGATACTGTAAGTGTCTAGATATGAGATATATGATATAATATATTTAATCAGCCTTTTTGTCTTCACAAATTTAGTCCTGTTACTTTCTATATCACCATCTTATAGACTAGCACACTTTTACCCCTTCTCATGCATATTTACAATTATGCACCATGGAGAATGACCCAAACCTTTTGCACCCAACAATTATGAGAGAAGTGGTGATCTGGCCAATATGAGGGTGCATGGGTTTATGTTACCATTTTTATTCAGGTCTTTGAGCTTTGATGGGTGGTAAGATATCTGGTTTGGATGAGGGCAATCGAGGGACAGTTGAAGTTTGTCCCAAAACCAGACAAAGTGCTCATGATTTTTGGGTAATAGACAGGATTCTAATTTGTAAAAAAAAGGCATGCATGTGGATACTTTGTTGCTGTTCATCTTTTTTCTTGACTCAATTGTATTTCTTTCTTTTTTGCATGCGAAACTGTTTCTTCTCACACTCACACACACCCATTCAAATTATCGGTTTGTTTTGTATTTCAGAGAGGATAACTCGTTTCTCCAACCCCCCCCCCCCCCCCCCCTTCTTTTTTTTAACAAATCACTTCTTACGACCATTTAAATTGAAATTAACATCAACTACTACGATGCGTCTTATTGACTGTTTCTACATGTCGGGTGATTGGAAAATCTTTTCAGCTCTTGGAAGGTGCAAAGCTTGGTGGTGCAAATTTACTCGGTGCTATCAGATGATGCTGTTGCAAATGTACCATGCGCTCATGTCAATCTAAGCAATGAGCAATGCAATTCCCTGAGCAGGGTGTTCTTGGGCTAATGCTTCAAATTATCGTATAGAAGCGTTGGTCTACTCTTTAACCCAAGATCGAAGGAATTGATGATCGGATTGGGCTTAATTGTTATTTATTCCGAGGGTGGGTTCTTATTGGGTGGGCTTATCACTTCGGAGAAAAAGCCGTGTGTGCTGTAAATCAAGGGGACAGATACAATAATCACTTATGGAGTTTGAAATCTGGAACAAATTAAATGTTATTCACCACATTTGATCTTAAAGTGCATTATGCCTTGTATTTTGTGTTTGGTACACCTAACAAAATTATAGATAGGCCAATGAATCCAGTTAGAGTTTTACATAAACTGTGCACGGTTTCTCCTTCTGGTTGCATGTTTCTCGACGATCAATCTCTATAAACCTTCCACAGTGTCTTCCTTGACAGTCGATCTCAGAAAGCAAGAAGCAAATTTGCTTTCTAAAAATGACGAAAGGGGGAAAGTACATGATAGGACCAATTCCTTTGGTGAGAAACAGGTCACAGTGACTTTGGCCATTGGATGCACAATCAGGCCGCTGGTTTGTACAATTGAAGGTGCTCAATGCTCAAGAGTATCTTACTGATCCCAGCCATCTGATTTCATTTTTGACGGCTAATGTTGTTTGTGACATTTATGAACCATTAACTGTGCCCAAAGCTTGTTAAATTTGTTCCCCCCCTTCCCCCACCCCTTCCCCCCACAAAAAAAAATCCAACCAATCTACTGACTGTCCAAAACCAAAAAAGTATCATAAGGATCCGAGGGACATTTATGTACGATTGATTGTGCGCAAAGCATGAGAAAGTTATTCTCTCCTCCTGCCCTTAAACCAAAAATAAATAAATCTATTGGCATTTGCTTAAAGCCAAATGGTATCTTACTGATCCCAGCTATCTGATTTCATGCTTGACACTTTGACACTCTGTCCAAGAATAAGAACAAAAGGGGAGGTGAGGCTTCTGGCAGTAGGAGGGATCGGAGGGACATTTATGTACGATTGATTGTGCTCAAAGCTGGAGAAAATCATTTGTTCCTCCCCCACCCCCCAAAACCAAAAAAAAAAAATATTGACCCTTGCTTAAAGCCAAGAGGTATCTTACTCATCCCAGCTATCTGATTTTATATTTGATGGCTCATGATGTTTGTGACATTTATGTACCATTAATTGTGTTCAAAGTTTGAGAAAATTGTATTTGATTTTATATATGATGGCTTGAGGTGCTTGTCATCTTTGCATTTGAAAACTACGCTCATTATATACAATTTTTGTTTTAGAGAAGTGAATGCGAAGGAAAAGCCTAGCCAAAAATAAAGTGAACAAGTGAATGCCAAGTAAAAGCCTAGCCAAAATAAAGTGGACGTATTCCTGGATGAAATTAGTGCTAAGATTTACCTAAGGGGCTTGTATGCCCTATTAGATGTATTCCTCGATGAAATTAGTGCTAAAAGTTACCTAGGTAGCTTGTATGCCTTTAGGATGCACTTCTTGCTGCGGTCGAGGAGCATGATCCCTCAAGTGGGGTCTGTGTGATTTGTTGTTTGCTTAGTAGTTTTGTTATGATCAGATCAGTGTTTAAAAAACGGGATTGGCCTGGTGAATGGCTCTTGGGTGAGTACCTCTAAATCTGATGGACTTGGGCGAGTCCCTCTAAATCGGATGGACTCGGGCGAGTCCCTCTAAATCGGATTTGTTCCTACTTTTGTTGAGGAACTGGGTAAGTCCCTCACAATCCTTGCTTTTCACACTATCTTGAATACATGAGTGATCAAACTCACAGAGTCCCTTGGAAAATGTGAATATGTGTAGAATTTGTTTTGATTGTTTAACAAACTTCTTTCTTGGGTAAGTGATTAACCAACAAATTTAATGATCGATCTGAGCCATCATCTAAGAAAGAAGCCCCAACTATTTAACAAATAATCACATTTAATGAACAAAATGTTACAATGGAAAACTCTCCTAAGAAACAACAATGATCAGTCCCTGTCTTGCATCCTACCAATAATGGTAAAAACAATAATGACAATAACTATAAATGGCCCGTTTGGAGTCCCTAATACACAAGGGACAATTTTCTATCATGAAAAGCTCCTCGCTTGTTCTTCGTCTTGCTTGTTGGGCTATCAGTTGCAAGACTATCAAAGGTGGTTCTAAGCACTGGTGCTACCTGGCCCTTGCCATTGCTCCCCTTTCCCAAGAGCCTCACAACTCCTGAGTAGTGCAAGGAGCTAGCTATTTGTATGGCCGTGGCCCCCTGCCCGGTCCTAGACTCGGTGTCGGCTCCCTTCTTCACAAGCAACTCCACCACCTCTGCCTGTCCCGACTCTGAGGCGCAGTGCAATGGTGTGTATCCCTCCTCGTCTGTTGCGTTGATATCCGCACCCTTCTCGACCAAAACCCTGACAACTTCCATCCATCCCTTGAATGCAGCTCGGTGTAGCGCGGTCCAGCCATGTTGGTCGCGGCCATGCACTGAGGCCCCGGACTCAAGCAGCCGCTGGACAGCACGCGTGTCCCCCCTGCGTGCTGCCCTGCAGAGGCTGTCTCCAAGCCTGAGGCAGTCAAAGAGACGCATGTGCCCGCACTCAGCGGCCACATCATAGGCAGTTTTTCCCGATCGGTTGCGTATGTCCTTGTTTGCACCCCTTTGAAGCAAGAGCCTAACCATCGGATCATCGCCTTTGCCTGCGGCAACATGGAGTGGAGTGTCCCCAGAGTCTGAGCGTGCATCAACAGAGGCTCCGTTGGCAAGCAAGAGCCGCGCGCAGTCCCTGCGTCCATCCTCAACTGCAAGGTGCAATGCGGTGCGCCCGTCCCAGGCTGGCGCATCTGGGGATGCCCCCTTCAAGAAAAGCAGTCGCATCACCTCCAGGTGCCCCCCAGCGGTGGCCTGATGAAGAGGGCCCCACGTGCCAGATTGGCGGTCTGGGTTTGCACCCCGTGCCAGCAGAAGTTCGACGATGAGGGTCTCACCGGCACCGGCTGCTGCCTCCAAAGGGGTGCGGCCAGAGCGGCTCGGGGACTCGAGGTTTGCATGGAATTCCAGTAACAACTGGACAAAATCTGCTCTGCCAGAAGCAATCGCAAGGTGAAGCAAGGTGTGGCCTTTCTGGTCTGTCGAATCTGCAGCACCAGGGGTGTCATCCCTCTCCAGGACCGCACGCAAGTCTTCCATGTTTCCATCGGTGACAAGCTTCGCCAACACCGGTGCCCCTATAAACATGACTCGTAGCGCACTATCGGCAAATACCTGCTTCTTCTTGGCGGTGAACCAGTCCGGAGGAACATTATCCAAGGCATGGCTGGCAAGGGTAGCGCCTGGGACCACAACACTGTGGAGGAGGAAACGGTGGTCCGGATAGGGGATAAGACTATCAGGAAGTTGCTCGTTGGGGGCCATATTGTAGGACAGCTCGAGCATGACGGTGCCAAGGGGCGGGATGATGCCCGATTGGGGGCGCGCAACGTACCGCCCCTTCTCAACTGGCTGGAGCCTGAAGGCCACAGGCATGGTGTGCATCACGTTGCGAAAGGTGACTGTGCCGCTACACTTGTGTCCGGGCTCAATGCGTATCGCCACCATGCTCGATGGCTCAAACCTTATGAGCCTGTCCATGTTACTCAATCTTCTCCTCTTCCTTTCTTTCCTAGTGCTCAAGGTGCTAGCAACCTATGTTGCTCTCTTGTGTCTACTTTCTTCCTCTCTTTTCTTTCCTAGTGTTGAAGCCTCTCTTTCTTTGCTTCCTCAGTGACGGAAGGGAGTTCGTTCAAACTGGTTGATTCCCTTCCAACTCTTGAATGATCAACCTCAAAAGTGCCTCGATTCTCTCTCCTCTTCCTTTTTTCCTTCCTGCTTTTGAAGAGAATTGAGCTCTTTTTCCCCTGGTTTTGAAGAGAACTGAGCTTCTCTTTTTCCTGGTTTTGAAGAGAATTTGAGCCCCAATGAGTTGATTATCATGCCTTAGTAAGTGAAGGCCTAAATTTAATGCAAATTTGATGTATAAGTAGAGCCGGCTCAATGAGACGATGCCACTTGTAGGGCCATTGGGTGTCAAGTACAAAGCTGACTTGTTCTTTCCCTTGTCCTTACAAAAACTACGAGGAACTCCTTTTCTAAACAATGTTGGTGATCAGAGCATTCTTGGCCTTTTCAAGTATGAACAATTAAGATACTTGGGAAATTTTCTAAACCTGGATGAAGAGCAAATGCCATGATTCCTTTCAAAATTTGCCATAACAACCCTCACCTTTAAATTGTATTGGATGGAGTAGAGATTTTTTGGAGATGGGGTTTTAATGCGTTAGCATCTCATTCCAAGATGGATTTTGGATGCGTATTGGTAATCTCGGTCACCACGATCATGAATATGAAATAAAAAAGGGGATGGATTTTCAACCTTAAAAGTTGGCTATTTTGAATTTTGTCTTTCGGTTGTTTATTTTAATTATTTGAATATCATTAGATCTGCACTATTTCTTGGTATGAAAATGCAGCTAGAGAGACTTTAACATATATTTCAGATCTTGAATCCATCACTAAGATTTTTAAAAGGGAATTGCATGTGAATATGTGTGTCTGAGAATACACCATTTTTCCATTTGGGACAAGGATTTTGTGACTCCCATGGTAATATTGCATTTGTCACCTAGGGCTAACAATAGACCAGGCCAGCTCGGGTCCCGATATGGCTGGCCTAGGCCCGGACCGGGCCTAAGAAGACCTGGCCCAAGTTTTGTGCAGCCAGCCCCTAATGCAATATTGGCCAGACCAAGCCGGGACTCAGCTGTACTGTAGAAGTAACGTTTACCTGTAACAAAATTCTTAAGGATATAATTTTAATTCTATGTTTGCAGTAAAGGTTATTACAGTCTATGTAGAAGCATCCTCTACTAGAAAATGTCTTCCCAGCATATGCCCTATAAAAACAATACTTTTTGAAGATTTTTTTGTTCCTCTTAGGTCCTCTCACATAAATATATAAAGTACCTGGTCTCATATAAGATTGAGGCCCTAAACAATCAAATTAAGGCGTACCTAAAAAATTTACATATAATATTGAGGCCCTAAACAATCAAATTAAGGCGCACCTAAAAAATTTACTAGAAGAAGTTGGTGTGATGTAAAAAAGCCCTCAAATCGACATTTCAACCTCGACATACATAAATGTTGAGAAATAATGAAATGCATTATTCGGGGCATCAACTTTCAATATTCTCACTTGTTCATAGATCTGTTTGATTGATGTCATTTTTCAAAATTTAAAGTTTATATAATTAAGGATGAAAATAAATTTCATGCCATCATGAATATTTTTGCAACTGGATAATCATATTTCGATACTATTAAGAGACACACCTTATTTTGATTGTTTACGGCCTCAGCCTCATACAAACCACACCCATACATTAAGCATTGTCTAATAAACAAAATAATTTGAACACTTCTCTTGATGAGGGATGGACCTATGGTTACGTCATGTAATTTTGGATATTTTAGTGTTAATTGTTAAATTAGTGTGTGATATGACCCACTTTCACTTTTTTATGATTTGAGAAAATATTTGCTTTGTAAAAAATCAATGGTTTCTTGTTGTATTTTTTAACTTTAATTTGGATATGGTCAATTCTTTCTTTGTCACTCGTGCTAATTTTAGGCCAGTTGTTCTGTGAAAACAATGTGTCCACGGGCCCTTTGTAGAAAATGAAAATTTCTTATACACATATCTCTCTCGCTGCCATTATGGGTCATAACCAGTGATTTAAAAAATGTTAGGTCGGTACGGAATCATCCGGTTTGATTCGAAATCGGAAACCCCATTCCAATTCTGTATATATGAAGGAATCGGTGGTTATGCACTGTAAAACGACAATTCTCTACAATAAAACGGCAATTTGGACTGCTAATTCATCAATCTGAACTGGGTTTTGGCCACTTCACAGTTATTTTTATGAGTTTTTTGCCTATTCACTGTTCCTTTTTTTCACATGGTAAAAACGGCGAGCCGATTCACCGATCCATTTTTGGGGTGCCCAATCTAGGTCACCTATCCGATTTCTAAATCACTAGTCATAACCATTTTACTCTCATTTTTTTCATTGTTATTTCTATATGTGAACTTTTGCTAGCTCGTCTCTCTTATTTTATCCCACATGGTTTTTCTATCCTCCAAACATTTGAAAATTTCATACTTTAATTGTTTAATCATGGTTGTTTCTTCTCTTTTATTACTTTCTTATGCTTTCAGTCTATTCATTTATTACCAAGCCAAATAGAGAAGAATTAAAAGAAGAAAAGCGTTGTAAACAAAAAGCCAAGAATCCCTAGGCCTTGACCCAACCAACGCAAACCGGCCATTCCTACTAGGATCTGTGGGCTATTGAGACTTGTTCTTCTCTAAGCCAAACTGCTAATGAAGCTTGTATAAGTAATTAGCGCACAGTGGTGTAAGATGTGCAAATTATTTTAATTGTAGATTAGGATCCTATGAGATTCATTAGAGGCTGCCCCAATCAACCTTGTCCTAGCTGGGGTTTAGATGCTAGTTCAAAGGGTATAATTATTCTTGTTTAACTCATCTCTTGTCCACTACACAATCTTACAATGTATGAGACAAAAGCATTGTGTTCATTGCTAAGCTGAGTATGGGAGAACCATGATGCCCAGAGAGAGAGAGAGAGATAGAGAGAGTAAAGGGTAAATTCCTTTTGCTAAATCTAGGATGATTTATTCTAGGGTGAATAAGGTGCCCTCCATATATTATATAAATAAGGCGCGTGTCTAGATTTTGCTAGAAAATGTAGTTTATAGCTTGAAAATTCATGTTCAACTTTAATTATGAAATTTAAAATTTCAAAAGGGGTACAGCTCAAATAGATCTATACACATGAAAATCTTACAAACATGCGGCCTAAATAACTTGTGACAATATGCATTATTTTTAGGACTTGATATTTTTTTCTCTTTTTTTTTTTTTTAATATCTATAGATCACGAGGTTGAAATGATCTATTAAAAGGTTTTGCAACTTCAAAACTTTCATTTCCATTATATTTTTGAGGTACAACTTACTTTATAGTATGAGATTGCAACCTTGTATTACCCTTTTCTTTTCTAAGGGATAGCTCAAGTAAAGAAGAAAGGAATGGTTCGCCTTGTCGATAAAATTATTTTTATATTTGGTACATGAATTTTACAGTTATTTTTAGTTGTCAGATGTGAAACTAATGCCTATGATTCTATATAAAAGTTTGAGACAATTTCTTTCATACTCTGTGTAAATAATTGATACTTTTAGGCAGCCAATTTCGTATTTGATAATTACGGGTGATTATAGCCAATTTCGTATTCAAAAGTAAATTATCTTACTCGATTTTGTATTATCGAATAAGAGATTGTGTAAGACCATTTACCGTATTATACTCGTAATCCACAATCACTCAGATGACCCAAAAAGAAGTTTCGGACTCTATCCCTACCAAAGTCTCAAGTTACATTCAAAAGCAAAATAGATAAAATAAAGAAAGGACTACAAAAAATCATTGTGTGAGGGGAAAAAGTAAGAAAAGATAAAAATAAAAAATAAAAAAAAATAAAAAAAAGAAGAAAAAAAAAGGAAAAGAAAAGAACGTAGAATCTTTGTGTGAAGAAACATGCCTGATTCAGATACGACTCAAGAAAATGGAGTTCAAAGGAATGATGTATATCTATGTACTTGTGTGTTCTGACGGGGAATATACTTATAAACCATAAATCCCAATAAGCTTATACCCATTTGACAGAAACAACAAAGAATAATAAACTTAACCTGTTTGAGATTTTTTTGAAATTTTATTTTTAGAAAATGACCAAATATTATAACATCCTTAGTAACTCAAAGTCCAAATTTTTTATTTTAGGATACTCATTTGCTGATTCTAAAGTAGCCCATCAAAATAAGAAAAGTCTTACCGCATAACTCATCAAAAATTGCAATTCAAGCATTGCGAAACTTTTACATCAATTATCTCGGATTCAACATTACGGTTGTAAAAAAAACATAGGATTTCAAGCTCTAAAAATAGTGCATATTTTAACAAATTGTCCTGACCATCCATTTCATCATAAAAAAAAAGTATTAAAAAATCTACAAGATCTGTACATTTTTTCATCATCTAAACATTTTTTCAACTAATTGAAATCGACTACACGAATCATAATCTATCATTATACTATCTTTACATTTTTTGAGTTTCAAATTTTATTATCGAGGTTAAAAATTGATTTTAAAACCATTATGGAAATTTTTGTTACCGAAAGTGCTTTCTAAACGAGGATTTGAGGTGACGCTTTATTTGATTTCATAACGCTTAGACCTTAAAGAAAGTTCATCTTAGAAAGATCGACTTAATGGGCCCGCTTTTGATAGAGTAAAAATATAGCATTCTCATACATGTACAATATAGGTGCACTTTTAGAAAGCCAAAACATTTTATGCTCCCCAAGAAACACAGACATTTGTATAGATTGAAATTCAACTCATCAAATTAATTACCATTAAACCTGCCACTCTAGAAATGAACGTCATTATTCTTTTATTCAAGGCCTAACCTTGAAGTAGATAAGGCGATGAAAAAAAGGGTAACAAAAAAGAGAATGTATATTATTTATGTTTGGTTCGAAAATAAATAAATAGGTAAATAAAAGTCACCATGACCACTAACTGTTAGCAAAATAAGCAATTGAGGATGTAATACTTTTTTGTTCAAAGTTTTTGGGGGTGTCTCTCTCCTCTACCTCAAGTTTCAAAAAAGAAGTCACTCTTAATTAATGTATCAGCAGCACTTAGCTTCACGGTAGACATGGAAAAAAGATACAGATATAGATGTAATCATAAAAATCGAAATTCCCACGATATTTTCTGCTCTTTCCTACACCACCCGATAACATGCAGATAGTCTCCTTCAATTAAACAAATATTCCCCAAAAACCCCCTTTCAATGAAAATATACACACCCTTAACAAGGTACTTAATTCCACAAAATTAGTTGTAACTGTACCAATTAGTCCCTCATAGGATAAAACAATATTTTCAAAACAATCACGAAAAACGCCACCAATCCCAACTGGACCCGAGTTCCCAAAAAAGCTCCCATCAACTTTTGCGATCCCCCACCCTTCCTTGGCCACCGAGGGACTTGACCACATAAAAAGTTTGATTAAATGAAGTAACTTGTCATACGGTAAAACAAAACCCTCAAAAGCTCTCCTATTTGTTTCCTTCTAAAATTCCCATAGAATGAACCCTTTTGTAATTTTTCATAAGATACCACCAACTTTAACCAAAAAGGAGAACGTGAATTGTGTAACAAAATCAAACAAACTAAGAGGCAGCACTAGGAAAACTCTTGCAAAATCCATCAACCAATGCCCAATTCTTGAAGTAAAAGAGCAATGGATCAAAAGATGAACTACTGATTTCCCGCTTGTTCACAAAATAAACAAATGTTTGGCAAAATCTTACTCATTTTCTAAAAATTATAAAATGTCATGATTTTGTGCTGCGCAACCAGCTAAACAAATACTTGAACTTTATGAGGTATTGACCATTTCCAAATTTGAGCAATATTAAGGTAGGATTATATCTATCGATCATGAAAAACAAATTATAGCAAGATTTTACTAAAAAAATTACCATCACTTTCAATCTCCCGTACTAACATATCATCCCTCTCATTGTACACTTGTTCAAAGAAAATATGCCATGACTGATATTTTTTTTTCATCTTTTTTTTATTGAAGAGTTCAAAACGGGAAAGGACCCTCGACTCATGCTAGAAATAAAACTCAAGATGTTATGTTGTGATACCCCAACACCTTGAGCCCTTAACCTTAGGCCTTCCTATATCACAAACGTTCGGTTGCACATGTATTGTGAATTTAACAAATTATCAAGTACTTGGATTTTAACAGCTTGCCAACAACTTTCTAACCATCAGATGTCAACAATGGATCATAGGAGATAACGTATGAACCCACCAAATAATACGTAGTGATAAATTCCATGTCCCCAATACATTTGCTTTAATGTGCCTTTTTTTTTTTTTCCCGCTTTTTTTTTTATGGTTTTGCACTTAGAATGTATATATATAGTAATGTAATTATCAAAGGGATAGTATAATATAATATGATATCATTCTTCTTTGTTATAAGGGAATCACAATTACTAATAGTCATTATCATTTTTCTTTGTCATAAGGGAATCACAATTACTAATAATCATTATATGTCAAATTGGATGGCTTGAAATATATCACAAAATTTAAGATTTTTTTTTAAAACTTTTGAGTTTAGTCAATAACAAACTCACAATCACTTTAATTGAAATCTGACAATAGTGGTTGTTCCTCGTTTCTTTGTATGTTTTAATATCCTAGAAAAAAAATCACGATTGCACACATATCTACCAATTTCTCCATGGCTATATCGATATTAATATTTAGTTATTACTTTCTTCTTCTTTTTTTTCTTTTTTACAAATGTTAACCACTTAATTGATGGAAGAAAAGATTACAAAAGATTTACATTATTCGAAATTAAAAGCGAAGGTAAAGAAACACATCTCTTGGTTAGTCCATCTGCCAAAGAATTAGCTACACTCCTCTGTTCTAGTAGTATACTCATTTAGTTGATTCTCAAGCGGGTCATAAATTAATCGTGTGCCTGAACAGCAAGTGTACTACATGGATGACAGCATATACACCTTATTTAAAGAATTTTAAGACATTTTTTGAGGTATTGATTTTCTGTGATAATTCACAATTTCAACAAATTTAATCGTACTCGAAAGGTTATCGAATATACTCAATAGGTAATTTCACTCATAACTTTTCATAAAGCTGCTTTTACTTTATTCAGTCCAGATTTTTCCAGTTAGGTACCATTTGTTTTGGGACAGTAAAGAGCTTATAAGAACTCTCTCTGCCCAAACCAAACCAAACCATTGTTTTAAAACTTAATGACTTTCAATCCGGTTCATGTAAATGAAAATCGGTGGGATCCAAACCGATTATGACATAGTATGGGTCTCAACCCGGTTCCACCTGAACCCTTGTTGTAATTTTTTTTTTTTAAGTTTATCCGATATTTCGTGAAGTGCCATCTAGATCCCTATCCCATAAACTCCTATTTTAAATTGAACCTTAATTGAATTGTTTAAAGTTGAAACCTTATAGACACCGCACCCTTACAATAATATCCCAACATTGTAGGGATTGTGGAACAAACTAACTAATACAATACATCCAAATCTATAGAAAGCACAACTAATATTGTACAATGTGATATCCTACTAAATCTCTAACCAATCCCCTCAATACAACTAATATTGTACAATGTGATATCCTACTAAATCTCTAACCAATCCCCTCAATACATAAGGTGTATACCAAATAAGTGAAAAAATAGTATTATGCAAATATTTTAATTGTAATCTCATCCAAACAAGCGCTTAGCACTCAACATTTTCAGAATCCCTTACAAACACCAGCTCCATGAATACTCCCAATGTGATGACTATGAACTAAAATGAAGTAAAGTTGACAATGCAAAAAAAAAACAAAAATTACCACTTTGGTATTGAAAAACTATGTATTTTCCAAATTCATCATCATCATGGTCAAGATTATCAATCCTCAAGATCCAACAGTGGTATGTAGTTGATACAGGCACCAAACCTCATCCACAAATGAAAATAAATTGTAATAGTTATGAGTGATGACAAATAACATAGTCATGGGACTCTTTATTAGTTAGTAAATGGCTAGATGACCAGAGTGGCCAATGGAAAACGGGATCTAGGCCGTGGTCGTTGGTAGGTGGTGTCACATTGTTCTTTCTTGAGTTTCATTCTCATTTCCCGTTAAAAAAAATAATATGTGTTGGCCCATAATTACTATCACTGGGCAATGCCTATTAATTTTCAAAGAGCAAATACCTTCCCAAAATATATAAGAAATGAAAGAAAGAAAAAGGATTCTAATAAGCCTTTTCTTGGGTAAGTTACTTTAGATTAGAAGAAAATGGTAAGATCATCCAATGGATGTGATTCACCATAGAGTTCTTTCACATAAGAAATTAAAAAAAATAAAAATAGAGAGAACAAACATGATATAATTCGACCCAAAGTTATAAAAAAGAAAATAAAAAATCCAGACCAATACTCACAAAACTATCACATTAATATAGGCATAATATACAAAGAAAGCTCATGTTCTACTGAGGACACGTCATTATTACAAACATCAAACTTTCACACATGACTACAAGCATCACTCGAACACGCACTCCGAGCTTTCCTCGTTTACCTTTTTCCTATAAATCAAGAATACATAATGGTTAGTGAATATTTAAAAAAAAAATAAAAAATATATAGAAGTTTCTATAAGGCCTGTGCTCATTGAAAACAAAATAAAAGCTTCACAAAATGGTACAAATCTTTCGGATCTATAAACACTTGTTTTTAGGGTAAAATCCATATAATTCGCTACACTATACACTATTTTTAGAGCTTTAAATCCAAAATGTTTTTGCACGAACATAACGGTCAAGGTGATCGATGTAAAGGTTTTTCAATTCTCAAATTGTAATTTTCAATGAGTTATGACATGAGGCTTTACTTATTTTGATAGAGCTGCAACCCCATCAAAACATTTTCCAAAAAATAAAAATAAATAATAATATGTGACGTGAGGTTTTACTTATTTCGATAGAGCCGCAACCCTACCAAAATATTTTCCAAAAACAATTAAATAATAATCCATAATTGTTCTAAAGGGTGCTTAGGCTCTAAACAATCAAATTAGAACCCACCTTTAAATAATGCGGAGAAATATGGCTTCAATACCAGAAAGATAGCTTTAAAATACATTTTCATCTTTATTTATAAAGTTTAAAGCTTCAAAAATAATGTAAAATGACATATCGATGAAAATCTTGAAAATTAACTATAAAAAAATGTATTACAAAATACACTTTTTTCAAATTTTGAAATCCATTTTTTTATCATGTCCATGCATCTTGATGTTGAGAGAATCGATTTGATGATATATGGACATCCAAACATCAAAACAACCTCTTCTAGTAAATTTTTTGAAGCAGGTTCAAATTTGATTGTTTAGAGCCTCGGCTCTATATAAACTTTTCCCTGTTTTAAATAACATGTGTTTTTTTTCTTTTTTTTTTTTAATTTCATGCAGCACCTACCTGTCCTATTTTCACCTAAAAAGAGCCACACCCAAAATCTAATAATACCATATTTCATTTTAACTATGTTTTTTTGGGTGCCACACCTTCTTGAGGAAAGAATATTATACCCTTTGTGTCCATCTGTTCTAGCTACCGTCGGATACTGATGATCGACGGTGGGAAGCAACCGAAATCTAGTCAATGCATATCATAGCCAACAGCTGATTGATCTCCTACATCCGTCCATCACGAGTAACGAACGGTGATGCCTATGGCATGCCATAAAACATGGCAAATAGCTGGTGTGTATGATCAATAGGGGAATTTATCAAAATACATACAAGAAATACTCTATTTATTATTTTACCCGAATATATGTTATTTTTAAGGCTTAATTTTTTATTTTTTATTTTTTTCATAACCATAATGGTCAAGGTGGACATAGTTGAAGGTTATCGACCGCCGGAACTGCGATTTGCGTGAGCCTTGGGTGAGGCTTTTACTTCTTTAGATCAGGCCTAGACCCTAATTTACCTATTTCCATTGTTAAATTGTTGAAAAATTAAGTATACTTCGATAAATTTCCCATATATTATATACCTCACAGTGTATACCATAGGCATCCACCATCCAATCCCCATGATCAACGGTGGAGAACAATTCAACACCCATCATGACGATCTACACTAGCATGGTATAACTATCTTACGCAAAATTGTTAGGAATTGGAGGGCTAGGATTACCTAATCACTGTCAGAGCTGCTGCTGCTGCTGCCGCCATCATGCTCGTGGCCAGGCTTCTTCTTCTTCTTCTTCTTCTTCTTCTTCTCCTTCTCCCCATCTCCATGGATCTTGTCCCCATCTCCATGGATCTTCTCCTTCACTTTCTCCATGAACCCTTCCTTGTGCTCACCATGCTCCCCATGAGAATGCTCCCCTTCCTTGTGGTGTTTGAGCTCCTCACCATGTTTGTGCTCCTCACCATGTTTGTGCTCCTCTCCATGCTTCTTGTCTCCACCGATACCAAGCTTCTCCCCAATCTTGTTCACAATGGAAGCCATTTCTCTCTCTCTCCCCCTCTAGATGGTTCTCTTTATCTCACTAAGACTGGCGATGGATTCCCCTCTCTTTCTGGTTTTTCTATGTATTGAATCCTATGCTTTGTGCCCTATTTATAGGAGTAGGGAGCTGTATCGAGCGTTGATTTAGATATCCGAGTTGGAGAGTTTCGATATTATCTATTCATGTTTTTATAAAAAATTGTGAATCCTCCTTTTCTTCATAAATGACTCCTCGAGATTTTAGTGCTGATTTACATTTTGATTTTTGTTTAATCAACTCATGAGTTTTATTATAACTTACTAGTGTGTAATGTTTAATTATAGTAAAAGTATTAAAGAAATTTTTTTAAATAGGATAGAGAAAATTCGCATCCGATGTGAAATTTTAGCTCGAGTTTGGCATAAAGTTCAAATTTTTTTTTATTTAGACAGATGTTGACATATAACTTTATACCCAATAGTTAAGATCAATTGTGATCATCTTATATCGAAAGTAAATGATATTATTGTATATTAAAATAAATTTTTAATAAAAAATTTACAAAACCCTATAAAAAAAAAAAGAGACTTTCTTATCGACGGAGAACCAAGTTTTTTTTTCTAGCAAACCAAACATGATTTTAGATCTTTTTTTTTATGTACAATTTTCCCATTTTTGATTAGTGAGACAAAATAGAAATTTAGGAGGTCATAGGCATATGAACGCGACCTTTTTGGGGCGTAGCGATAACGCCGGGCATTCCGCTTTATTTTTTTTGACGGTGACAGCCAAATGCTGATCGCCACGTATCCGATCCAGCGGACGGTCCGCCGCGGCCCACACGTTACGCGCAAAGATATTCCCGCCAGAAATGTCGTGCCTCATCACGTGGGCACTACTAGAACACGTGAATGCTTTAAATAACGGATAAAATTCAGTACGGAAGTCGGTAAATTTCCCCGAATCCAAATTTGACAGGTGGATTGTTCTTGTCTTGAAAATAATGACCCGTGGACAATGCGTACATCTTCACATGTGGGCAATTATAGAGCATGAATTCTATGCTCCCGCGGGAGCACTTAATGTTTACACCCTCGGACATAAGACTAACTTGTCGGTAGCGCAGTTCAAAATTTTTATTAGAATGATTTCGTTTTCATGCTCAAATATCCTCAAATTGATCATCTTAACCTTAATATATATAGACATAAAATTTCGTTATAAGATGTTGTTTTGATGATCAAATATCTTCAAATTAGTCACCTGAACCTCAACATGTATAGATATGAGAAAATAAATAAATTTTAAATTTTAAAAATAATGCATCTTGTAAACCATTTTTTTACCCTCAATTTTCGAGGTTTTCAAATTTATAGATATATTGGATCTACACTATTTTTTAAGCTTTCAATTTTATAAATAGAGATAGACAATATATTTTTAAAGCTATGACAAGGATTTTTAGTATTGAAACTACATTTCGGGATACTATTCAAATGAGTGTTTTATTTTGATTGTTTAGAACCCTTTGTATCCTATTTTTTTATTTAAAATTTTAAAAGTACCTACAATTTACTTGAAGATTATATGTAAAAATTGGAGTTTGAATTTTTTTAAAAGTAATAATCAAAATAATCACCATTAAATTTGACACATATCTCTAAAAATATTGTGTGAGACTTAATTTTTTTAGAGATTTGTGTCAAATTTAATCGTGATCCTTGAGTCCTACACACATAGATATGGGAAGGGTCGCATGAGATCATTACTCATTTTTTAATACTTAAATCTCACCCTGCTAAAAAAAAAAATTTTAAATAGTTTCTATTTAGTCTTGAAGCACCATTATCCTGAGGCCCTCAAAGAATGTAATCTTAATTTATTTATTTTTATGAGTTCCCAATCTTCTCTCTGAGAAAATCTAAACTAGGAGTATGTTTAAGACACTTCAACCCAAATCCACACGCAATGAAAATTTTCTAAGTTGCATTCTCTATTTGCTCGAGAAAAATAATTCTTGAATATTTATTGTATAGAAACTATCTAATTTTTGAAGAATAAGATTTAAGGGCTCGTTTGGGGCTAAATAAAACCATGTTTTGGATCTTAACATGGTTATGCGAAAACCTTGCTATTGAGGCATTATTGTTTGGATAGCTTGTAGATAATTACCCACATTATGGAAAATCGGTCATTTGGGTCATCTATTTGGGTTCACATTATTTAGGACACATTTGGTAAGTATGAAATATTTTTGCGCAAAACATTTTCATGTGAAAAATTACGTTACACATATTTGGTATGCAACAATACCTACAAAAAAATTTCACATTTTAAAAAATTTGAACAAAGTATTATAAAGATAAACTATCTAAAAAATTTTAGAGAGAAAAAAACTATCTCAACATTTTTAAAGGAAAAAAAGTCTAAAACTTTAAATTTGATATAGTTTCTCCCTCAAAAAAATTGAAATTTCATATAGTTGAAAATTTATCTCTTAAAAATTTTTGAGATAGTTTCTATCTAAAATTTTTTCTGGTAGTTTCTCTTTCTAAAATTTGATATAGTTTCTCTCACCAAACTTTAAAATACTTTTCCTCTCTAAAACTTAAAATTTGAGACAGTTTATTTCAAAAGTTTGAGATAGTTTCTTTTTCTAATTTTTTTAAAGTAATTTCTGTCTCATAGTTTCACTCTATAAAGTTTTAAGATACACTCTTTAAACTTGAAATTTGATATAATTTCTCTTTTTAAAATTTTTGAGATAGTTCTCTCTCTAAAAAATTTCAGGTTATTTTTCTTTCTAAATTTTGATGCAGATTCTCTCTCTAACACTTAAAATTTGCGATAATTTTTCTCTCTAAAATTTTTGAGATAGTTATTTTGTAAAAAAAATTTAATTGGTTTGTCTCTCTAAAATTTGATATAGTTTATCTTTCTAAAGTTTTTAGATATTGTCTCTCTCTAAAGCTTAAATTTTGAGATAATTTCCCTTTAAAAAATCTGAGATTGTTTCTCTCTCTAAAAATTTAGATATTATCTCTCTAAAATTTTAAAATACTTTCTCTCTCTAAAACTTACAATTTAAGATAGTTTCTCTCTCTATAAATTTTAAGATAGTTTCTCTGTTTATAAATTTTTAGATAGTCTCTCTCTAAAATTTGATATAGTTTATATCTCTAAAATTTTAACATACTTTCTCTTTTTAAAACTTGAAATTTTGAGATAGTTTCTCTCACTAAATATTTTCAGATATTTCTCTCTCTAAAAAAATTCAGGTACTTTCTTTCTCTGAAATTTGATGTAATTTCACTCTAAAAAAGTTTACAATACTTTATCCCAAAAACTTAAAATTATCTCTCTAAAAAATTTCATGTAATTTCTCTATTTAAATTTGATATAAGTTTCTGCCTCTAAAATTTTAAGATTTATTTTCTCTCTCTAAATTTTTAAGATTTATTTTCTCTCTCTAAAACTTGAAATTTAATATAGTGCCTCTCCAAAATTTTAATATATTTTCTCTCTCTAAAAATTTTGGGTAGGTTTTCTCTCTTAAAATTTGATATAGTTTTTCTTTTAAATTTTGAGATATTTTCTCTATCTAAAACTTAAAATTTGAGATACTTTTTTTCTCTAAAAAATTTGAGATAGTTTCTCTCTCTAAAAAATTTCAAGTAATTTATCTCCCTAAAACTTTTTTTGTTACTCTCTCTAAAGTTTCATATACTTTCTCTCTTTAAAAATTCAAAATTGATATAGTTTTGCTTTCTAAAATTCTTGAAATAGTTTATTTTTAAAAAATTCAGGCAGTTTCTCTATTTAGAATTTGATATATTTTATCTCTCTAAAATTTTAAGATATTTTATTCATCTAAAATTTATAATTTGATACAATTTCTCTCTCTAAAATTTTTGGGAAGGGTTCTCTCTCTAATTTTTTTACATAATTTATCTCTCTAAAATACGATATGGTTTATCTCTCTAAAATTTAAAGATAATTTCTCTTCTAAAACTTGAAATTTGATATAGTTTCACTTGCTAAAAATTTTGAGATAGTTTCTCTTTATAAAATTTTTTTAGTAGTTTCTCTCTAAAATTTGTTATAGTTTCTCTCTCTAACTAAAAATTTGATATAGTTTTTCTAAAATTTTAAGATATTTTCTCTAACTAAAATTTGATATAGTTTATCTTTTTAAAATTTTAAGATACTTTCTCTCTTTAAAACCTAAAACTTGAGATGGTTTCTCTCTAATTTGTGTGGATGTTTTGGCATAATTAATTGTATTTCACAAAGTGGGTAGTTCTGGTGTGTGAAAATAGTATTGTAACAAGTTGTATTCCCTCTTTGATGCTCACACAAAACAATGTTTTGAATAACTCAATTTTTTTCTTCTGTATACCCATGTTTTGTTTCTCTCTCTTGGTTACAAAAAACATGATTATGATTCCAAAGAGTTTCCTAACGTGTTTTTTTGCAGGATAATATGGTTATTCAAAACCACGTTTTGTTTACCCGCAAACGACCCCTAAGTGTTAAAACACTCAAAATTCAATTTTTTTTCTTTTACATAATTTTTAGGCCGCTCCCAAAATTTTGATAATACCCCTAAGTATTCTACCTTAGGGCATAAGTTTTTTTGTTATGGGATAGGTTTTTATAGTTCTCCTATAACCTAGGAGATCTATGTTTCTCCTACCATCCATCCATCCAATTTTGATCAAGAGAGTCACTGACCGTTTGATCTTAGATTCAACATCTCAAAGCATTTTTTTTTTAGTTTTTTTATACAAATTGCACGAATATGAAATTTGGCACATGCCATCTTCTTTTTGGGGCACACCTATAAAAAAAAAATTTAAAATAAATTTTCGAAAAAATATAATGATCAAAATATCTTTTGAAACTTTCAAAGGTATTTTAGTTATTTTATTTTATTAGAAATTTGTTTTTATATTTTTTTGCTAGTGCGAGTTAAATAGAGGATTGGATGCACAAATTTGATGTCAAAATTCATAAAAATAAAATAAAAGATAAAATAATATAGAGACGTGATATTGTAACCTCCATTTAAAATAAACGGTTAGATAAGAGGAAATATATAAGTTTTATATTGCAGGGGAAGCATAAAAAAGCTTGCCTTTTGTTATCACATATGACATAGGCTCGAAGAGTTCACAGCCCCAAAATTTGGTGATGCTTTGAGGTTCCATTTTGTGCGAGGGAGTAAATGGATAATATACTCCCTAGAGAGCATGAAATCTTTGGGTTTTAACTTAATCGGATTTATAATCAATTTGTGGAAGATTTCATGGAAACATGCACCGAAATTTCGGCCGACACTGAAATATTTCGAAGTTAATGTATCAAGGAGATTACCTGAAATTTCCTTGGATTTTCGGTGCAGTGTATACACTCTGGTGGTTCACCTTTTTCTTTTTCTTTTTTTTCTTTTTCTTTTTCTTTTTTTTTGGCATTTTTTAGGTAGGTTTGGTGGTCCAACTTATCTATGTTTAGCACATATGAAACCACATGTTTAGATTTGACCTGTGGAGGACCACGCCACATCCAGCAACAGTAAAAATGTACGTTTACTCTCAGGGCAAAGAATACACGGTGTCTTGTATAACTTTCCAAAATTTATATAAGGTGTCAATCAAGGTTTAAAGACACGGCCTGGTAAACTGGATTGCTCATCCGAAAAGCTAGCCCGGATTGGCCATCCGACCGAGTAAACCAGCCAACAAAAAAATTTAAAAAAATAGAAAACAAAAAAATTTAAAAAAATTTAAAACAAAAAAATTGAAAATATTAAAAAATGAATGTATTAAAAAATGAAAGTGGGATCAGTTCCAAGTATTTAGGCAGAACTAGACTGGCCCTTTTGGTTTATGATCTGAAAGAGCCGGTTGTGCTCTGATTCACCATTGTTTTAGACACTGGTGTCCACCTTGCACTATAGAAGTAAGGCACACCTAAAAAATTCACCGAAAAAAGGTCATTTTGATGCCAAAATGCATTCTAGGTAATCATTCTGACCTCGAGATATATGAAAAAAAGATTTCAAGTCTTAAAAATAATACATCATGTAATTTATTATCTGAATTGTCCATTTTCAATATTTTCTAGTGCTTGTAAAATTGCTAGATCTACACTAGTTTTAAAGCTTTAAATTTTATAATTACATATGAAAATAGATTTTCAGACCATCATAGGGATTCTTGGCACTAAAACATCTTTCGGCATCTCTCATATTGTTGAGGGGGATTCTTTAAATGTAATTAAGTGGTGTACTGGAAGGTAAATATTATGTGGAGAATGGTGGAAATTTTCAGAAAAGTAATGGATTTGTATAGAGACGAACAAGCTAAGCAAGGTGTGCAAGCCCAAGATTTATGTGTGGAATAACATAAGGATTGGAAAGGGTTATTTGTGCTTTTACTATTTCTGTTGTATTGTTGTATTTGTAAATGATTTCAATTGTGTTCTATGCACTTGTATTGAATTTTTGAAGTAATAAAGGAAAGGAAATGTGGTTCTTGTAATATAAAAAGTTTGCATTCTAAACACTTAGATCTGACCATTGAAAAATTAAATGGTCTTTACGTAATCTTAGGATACTATTTTTTTCATGTCTTTATGACATTTTTTATTTTTATTTTTATTTTTTTGAGGTTAGCCCCTACGATGAGGAGGTTACATTGGGCTAAATTTGAGGTCCCAGTACTCCTAGATAGGATTTTGTTTGAAGGAGTAGATGGGTAATATGCTCCCTCTGGAGCATTTAAATGTTATAAATCTTTTGACTTCTAATATATTTTCATTGGAGTAAACTAGGATACAAGGTCCATTCCTAACTTGCTCATCAAAAATATATTTCTCAATATAAAATAACCTTGTTGATATGGGACTTATGGCTAACCTCACTATGGGTATAACCCCTTATGGCTAGCCTCACTATGGGTATAACCCTAATAGGGTAGAATGACATATCAAGATCATGGAACAGAATGGCAGGATTTATGTAACCAATCCCAATTAGTTGAAAAAAGATTTTAACAATGATAATGTATCTCTCTAACCTATATTTAATTGAAGTCTGAGTTTTTTTTCCCTTAGAAATTATACGGCCCCACCCAAAAAGGGCACCTCACCCTCTCTTTAATCCTTTTCGAAATCTGATTTCCCGTTCCTAGAAATGGGACTTCTTTAATGAAAGAAATTAGTAGCTTTACCTGTGTGCTCGATGGTTAAGAACTTCTGTTAAGAGGGCCATAGCACTATCTTTTTGCTTCTTTTTTTTTTTGACTAAATCCTAGTGCTTTTTCTATAATCAAGGTTTGAATCTTGGTTAATAAAAACAAAGGTCTTTAAATTTCCTTCTCATTCCCTCTCATTGATAAAGAGGGATTTTCCTACGACGTGTTGATCATAAATGTCAATTATCTACAAAAAGGAAATTGCAGCATCACACTAAAGTGGGGCCAGTCTACTAAATTACTAATGCAAGGCCCAAGAAAAGTGCTTGGAAAACTATTAAAGTTAGATTCCTAATCGTCTTTCATGGATATAGGATGCCAAATGGCTCAAATCCCACACCTTTCAAGTCCAAAATAAAAGAGCACAAACCATGACTCAAGTGCTTATTCTAGTTTTTTCGCTCTTTTAAAGGAAAAGAGAGCTGGGGATGAGGCCTAGTTTTTCCCTTTTTTAAAAAAAAGGAAAAGACAGCTGGGAATAGTGGTTCGGGGTGGATGCCTCAACATAATGTCCCACCCTTTATTCCCATGTGAACATATCAAAAAAAAAAAAGCATGACAATAGGGATAGCATGGTCCGTGACTGGTCTGTGTTTAAAATTTGGCAAAGTATAGAATGAGACGTATAAGGTGGTCACATTAATCTTGACCATTAAATGTAAAATTGGATGGCTATAATTATTCCATTGACCAAGTTCAAACTTTAAAAGAATTTTTCTTGAACTTTGTAACACATCCAAACAATCAAATTTCACATCGGATGGTTGCAAGTAATTGTGACCACCTTGTGTGTCATTATATACAATCCTTTAAAATTTATACAAAAACAATAACAAGGATTAGCTACAATGACTTGGTACAAGAATGGCACTACTTTTGAAATTTTGAGAATGCAGGGATCTCAAAAGAAGGGATGAAACTCATGGGTACTATTGTTTTGAGCTGCAGAAAAATTCCAAAACTCCGGCAAATGAAGAAGACCTGTGCTATACCGAATAACCGCCCCATCTACTGAATATCAGCCCCCAAAAAACAAACTATCAAACAATGCATTTTTCAACTGTCTCCATAAACTAAGTTCTCAAGAGCCAGGATTTCCAGATCGGGGGCTTGTCTAAATCATAGTTCAAATGTCACATGCTTGTCAACATGTTGTAGAAGTGCCCCAAACTTCTTACCTAGAAAATAAGGCTCCATACTTGGTTCTATATGAATAAACAAATAAACAAAGGGGGTAGTTTAGGAAGCTTAGTTCTTCATGTGGCTTCACATTACAGTCAAAAAATACTTAAGAAGGGAGGGTCCATCATCTTTTCAAAGATGTTGGGGGTTTAGGAGAACGACGAGACTGTCGAAAGAGAAATTGACAATTTCTTGTAATATCACTGCAGAATGATAGATGTGCCCACATTTATCCTACTACTATTCATCATCAAGGCCACGATCAGCTAAAAGCTACAACTGTAATGAAAATTAATTTATCCATAACATTAACGTAAAAAATAATTTCATTTTTTGCCCTATAAATAAATAACTTTAATGGCACTACATTTCACTTATATCCTATTTTATCAATAAATATATACCTCATTGCATTTATCTTCTCGAGCGCCATTCTTGATCTTGCTTAAAAGCATTCAGTCCTGTGCAGTTCTCAACAACCAATAACATGCTGGCACCTGTCATTCTCACCCCGATTCACCAACTGCACACCTCCATGTGTCAGTCATCTCCATGTGTCAATTGTAACCATTGCCAAATGTCAACAATCAGAAACTGCCACATACCCATCATTGTCCACGAAACAGATGATCACCTGACTCGCCGACCACCACCCAATAGTGCACAGCCATGTGTCATTCAATGTGCATCAATAGATGCCAGGTGGCAGTCACCCATTGCCCCTCCGGGCCCGCCTTCGCTTACCCAACAACTTGAGCATGTTATCAGTGACATCAAGGGGTTCCTCATTGTCATCATCATCATCATCATTCTTGGTTTTATCAGATGTATGAGTTAGCCAACCCAAAGCCTCAATGGCTGCATCTCTCTCAGCAAGTTGTTTGTTCTTCTTTGGCTTGCCCACAAATTGCATTCCCTTAAATTCTACAAGAGCTCTAAACTCATTGGTTTTGAGGTGTTTGGTCTTGTATCTTGGTGGGCTATGACCTGCTCTCATGAGTAGGGTTTGGAGTAAGCTTTTGGGGTTTGCACCATCTCTGGTTCGTGGGCCATCAGCGGGGGCCCTAATTTTCGTGGTCTCACGGCCGAAAACAAACCGGCCCTCACAATTATCGGATGATACGAGCTCTTGTATTGCACGCATCAAGTATTTGCCTGATTTGTGGATGTCCACGCTTGGATCCTCAAGCTGCAATTGGCCAAGACAGATTTCAGGAAGTGGAGACTCTTCCTCTCTCTCTCTCTCTCTCTCTCTCTCTCTCTCTCTCTCTTACTACTACTACTACTACTACGTACTACTACGTACTACTACTACGTACGAACGAACGGAACGGAACGAAACGAAACGAACGAACGAACTACTAC